AAATTCAGTCGATTGAAGATATCCGGACAGATTGTTCGTTCGCAATTTGCTTTTACACAATCTTCCAAAGGAGGGGATACGGGAGATCCGTAATTTTTTAATCTTCAGCTACCCTTTCGAATAGCCCCAGTGTATGAGTCCAAGTTTTGCTCAATATTTACTTTTTGCAAGTCTGATGAATGTGATACCAACAACCGACCCCGGAGGGATTAGAGGCTCGGATGGCCTTCAAAAGGGCAGTACGAGGGAGAAACCGTTTCATAAGCCCTCTCATAATATAGGAATAATAGATCAAAAACAAAAACAAAGAGCGAATCCTACAAATAATAGAGCAAATAAGCCTACATATCGGTATCGCTGCCTATTAATTTTGGCCACCTTGCAAAAGATTTTACAAATTACCATAAAGGATAAGTCTTGAGCGTTTATCATCAGATATGAGCGATGTGGCCCCTTCATTGGACTTCCATTCAGAATCGTAGTGGCGTACTGAATGCGTATGTGACCTATACAATGGCTTGCAGTGTCTAACCAATGAGCAAGCCAGTGCTTTTATCCTCCCAGACGAGACCGGTAACAATTAACCGACTCCGGAGGGATGGAAGGCTTGATTGCCCGAGGCGGATATTGATCTGGGATTCGAATTCGTGACTTTGCGTGTGCGATAGTGCGCTACGTGCCAGTACACCACCTCCACCCATAAATGATCATTGAACACTGAACTGCCTTCACTGAAGTGCAGTGATCATTGACAGATCAAATTAATTTTTTGATTTTAACTCCTTAATTACCGTACGATGTTATGATGATGGTAATGGTAGAGGTAGTTGGTGATCCCGTAACCATAGAATCGTACGCGGCTGTGGTTGGTGTGGTTGGATCGAATTCCAACCATATCAACCACAGCCCTCCGCGTACAAAAAAAACGTGAAAACGCAGAGGTATCTCACCTAGCCCCTCAATTCATCGGAAAGGCTAAGTTACGGCCACCGAGACCTACTTATATTCTCGACTATAATCAGATGTGTGGCGCATTCTCAGAACGAAACATTATTAGCCTTCTTTTCTACTTCTATAGCGCAAGTACGAATGTATACCGAGGTTTTGCATTTCATCATAACTTGTTTACATTTATAGCCTCTCATTTTTCGTTTTATCGTCGTCAAGGGTTGTGAAGAAAACAATTTGTAGCGAAACTAGTGCGCACATACGGCTCGAAATGATAGGAAAAACGGTTCTTAGAAGGATTAATAACCCTCAAAGCAAGTCGAGCAATGTATAACCAAGCTCATTAAGTCGTGAAGAAGGCTTTCAAGTCGCTCAGATCCTTCAAGTACCTGGCTCATGCTTGTTTCACTTCTCAAATAGCCCATTCGTGTTCATTTTCATTGACTAATAGCTTCTATGAGAGGGACAGTTTTTAGATAGACTCTCAGGAGGTTTATGGATTGTGATAGTTCCTCTGTGTGAGGTCTCTGTGCCCCAGGGCTAACTTACTATCGAAATCTATTCCCGGAATATTCGGCCACGTTCAAGGTAAATCCTTTCCTGCAAAGTCGAAAAGTGTGGTCAGGGACCATCGATGAAATTGGTTTTACTTTAGAGGAAGGAGTAGAAGTGAAATTCGAAAGTTTTCAGTAATGAACCGGGATTTGTCATCTCGCACACAGTGGGAACCTTCAAGATCCTTCAAATTATTTTTGCCCCTGATGATTCGTCATGATCAAAAAACCACGACTTGTGTCATCACAACAAATAAGTGAAGTACTATCAAAAGTACCAGTGAGAAACTACGTGACTTCACTCACTTGTTGAAATTTACTTTTAGTAGCGAACAACTAGTTCAAGTGTTCATTTCAGAACGTTCTTTGCATTATTTGAGTGTTTTGCAATTTTCAACGTGCAATGGTCGCCGGCACTGCTTGGAATTCATTGAGAGAATTCAACTTTGCAAGGCAACCGGTTTCTTTCACAAAAATATATCCCAGAAAAATTTAATACAGCACGTAGAACTGTGAAAACTAAAGACGAAAAGAGTTTTGGACAAGTTGGAACCTTCCGGAAAGCGACGAGAATGATTGGAAACTCACTATAAGCCATCTTGAAATGGTCCTTATCAAACAGTTATTGGGGTAGTGAGGTGAAGTAGTGGTAAGTGGCGCACTCAACACACACACATGGTTACGGGTTCGAATCCAGGATCGCCTAGGCCAAAAAAGCCTCCCATGCTTGTGGGGTCAGGTAATTGGTTTCAGGCTCGTCGGGGAGGATAAAAGCATCGACTTTTACATCGGCCTGTCACAAGTCATTGTATAGACCACATACGCATTCACTAGACCACTACGATTCTGAGTGGAAGTCGAATGCGTTGGACGCATCCTTCAGACGGGATTGTCTCTACCCCAGACCATCCTTTATCCTTGATTACCGTAGGATCCCGAGAAGCTTTTTTTGCTGTCTTTCGTCTTAAGTCTTGACTCTTTACATAGAAAACGAAAAGATCAAGAAATGTGTATTCCAAAGGCGGTTAAGGCGCATTACAAGAGAATCCCTACTTCCGTCTACCCGTTGGCAAATCCATAGCGTTTAACTGCTCATGAGAAGACGTGATATAGGGTCTTCAGTGAACAAATTGTTTAGTTTGTATAGAATAAACAATGGAAAGGTGAAAGAACTGGTATTGAGGTAGGTAAGGTAGAAGGGGTGGGTTTGACGGTCGATTCCGGTCTATTTGCTCACTCAGAACTTCGTCATCAGCGATGTACAGTACCGTATGATGGTGATATAAATAAAAACACCGCAAAACAAGCAATGTATCAGTTCTTTTGTGGGCCGGGTAAACACCGATGCGATCACAGTTTGACATGGTCGGCGGGTTCACTTTGGACGATCTTATCGGCATTCATAAGTGAACAAAGATGAACTTTTTGATTGGTCTGCAGCCGTGATCATTCAGTAATGAATGAAGGAGTACGGACCCCAGACCGCTCAAATTTGTAGCTTGATGGACCCGCAACGTTACCAGTCCTTGGTTCTATCGCGTCAGGACGTTTTCATAGGATTCGCACCTTTCTGCCCCCTCCTCCTTACTGTTACGGGGAATTCGTGTGATAACAGCTTACATCTTCACGTTTTACGGAGTTTCCGGCCACTCGTACCTTCTAATTGGCTCCGTGTAACAGGTGAGAAACTAGAGGTTGGAAACTGGAGGTGTATAAAGGTACAGGGCAAAAGGCGGCGTTGTGGTGTCATCTATCCGAAAGTGGTTCGCTGCGTTCAATCAGGCGAGCAGCGGCAGTTTTGTCAAGACTCCTGAGTCTTCATCATTGAGCTCCCACCCGCGTTTTGGTACACTAATGTTCTGTCCACTCGTGTGCGAAGGGAGGTTGTCAGGACATCTTGTGGGATTATGGGACGTGTTTCCCAACACAGTGAATGTGGAACTGTTAAAAAAAGCCAATTTTGATTTTGCACGTGTCTAGTTCGTGGCGATTCCTTTCTTTAGTAGGTACGAGTTGTTGTTTCCATGTCGTTCTGCCTGCTCTTTCCACAAAGCTTCATGGAAGAGGAGGCTAATGGTTTTTTCAAATCTTCTTTCTCGTTAGATCATATTTTGACGGCCTCTGTGTCGTTGATGAAGAAGAATCACCGTTCAAGAAAACAGGTTGACTTCTTAGAGGACGAGTCTTTAAAATATCGAACCTTGAACAGATCATTCACTAGTCGACAATTCTTTTTGAAGCCCTTCATTTTACATTTGCTTTTTTGAGCTGGAGTGTCGGACTAGTCCTCGTTGTTCGCTTTGGTTTGGAATTTTCTGGGTGTTCCTCTTCACAAACATATATCAATCTCTTCTTATGACAAACACACGGCTGAGTTCTATTCAAGAAGGTTCAAGTGAAAAAATCATAATGTGGAAATAGTGTTTCTCGCTCTCGCTGTACCTTCCACGAGACTGAGGGTAATTGAATGGGCGTCAATTGCACCGCCATTACAATAACGGGACGCATGTATGTAGAATGTCCAGGCCAGGACGGAGTCACATTCCACGAAAATGATTTCTAGAGAAAAGAACTTTAAACGTTCTTTTCCCCATTGCCTCTCGTCGGAAAAATGTTGGGGGAGCGAAAAATTGGCTGCGACTTTTGTAGTGCAAGTCATCAAGCTCTATCGCGACATTTCATTGTCGAAAAACTGAAGGTGTGCGAGTTCCATAAAACATCCTCATTAGACGTCCGTAGGGCACGTTTTATAGACGAATGAATGCTTCGCGGCTACATTCTTACTGCATGCTTGATAGAATAGAGTCGTAGACGACAATGCCAGGTGACTCCTGGGCGCTAATGATTTTTTACTCAGCTATGAAAAGTCTTTTGTCGATTTCCAGCTTTAGTCAAATTTTTTCAAGAGGAGCAGTGGAAGTATATCTTCTGGGTATTCGTCCCTATTAATTCATTTTCTTGAGGGGCCGTCCCTGTCCTCCGTGCGAACTTCTGCACACGGTCCAGCACCTTCAAGTTTTGGTCGAACTATGCAACAATATAATGCCCGTTAAAGACCAGCAATTAATGCCCATTAAAGATAGAATTCTTGTGGTCTCGTTTGTCACGTGGAAATGGATTACAAAAGCACAGTAATGAGGGAAAAAGTCTAATTAATCGGAATTAACGCTAAGAACTGCATTAGGTCGTTGCCGCTTTTTTGCTGCTCACCGTTGCTCCAGAGTCACCTAGCACGCGCCGCGCCCGCACGCGGACAGTTCTTTCCTTTTCCCGACGGAGTCGCGCTTGAGTTTATTAACAAAATGTTTCTAAGTTTAATAGTTTCTCTTTGTTTGTATTGGCTAGTTTGTGTATGAAACATTTCGTCTAGCAGAGTGACCCATATCGTTTGATAAAATTGTGAATACTGGAGCGCAACGGGATTTCTTTACACATTACTCTGATCATCTGCTTGTTTAACTCGAAAGATTCTGAACAATTTATACTTGATCTTTGATTTCAACACAATTTCAGTTGCTGACAAATGAAATACGCCCCTTTGCCGGCTTGCAAGTCCGCATAAATTAGCGTTAAGTTCTCTCTGGCTATTCTATGGCAGCTTATATTGGCAGGTCCGGCCAAATTCTGATCACATTCGTAGTCGATTTTCAATAACACTTGAGTTGGGGTAACATTTGTGAAGTTATAATTGAAATCACCTCGAACGTTGTTCATGATGACCTGGAAACAGGTATTTCTCAAAGAATCTTCAAAGAAAACAATGCCTAACTGTTAGTTTAGGTTTTTGTATTTGAGAGTGTGATTTCACTACACTGGTGGAGGTGGCGTAATGACAAGAGGCGGACTACCACACATGCATGATCCAGGGTTCAAACCCCAGAACAATGCACGCCTAGTCCAGCAAAGTCTTTCATCCCTGCGGAGTTGCTTAATTGGTGTCGGACTAGTTTAGGAAGATAAAAGCCGTGAATTGTATATTGAGTGGGCACCACAAGTCATTGTATAGAGCAGGCACGCGTTCCAACTCCCTCCAACTGCGAACAGATGTCGAATGCGGAGAGCTTCCCAAATACGGAACTGGCTAATGTCAAAGGCTCTAGAGTGGAGACTCTACGGGACGACACAGAAAACGCTGCTAGCAAAAATCAGATTTTTCTCTCATAATCCTCAAAAGTGTTCATGGTCTTTCTCCTGAACTGAAATATTCTTGCAATTTCCGATTTCCTGTGCCTTCTTCCTCCCCCCACCTCCTTCATACCGACCAGGGGTGCAGGTACTTCTCCTCGTGAATCGCGCCGGGCTTGCCGCACCCAATCGCGAGTGCTATGAAGGTAGGGATTTGAAGTTTCAGTGGAACGACACGATAGCTGCCGCGGAATAACTGCTGCTTGGTGTGAAAATTCGGGGAGAACTACCGCCACCCGTTGGCCTGCCCTCTCAATCATAAAGCGCGATTATAAGCTATGTGTACACTTTCTCAAGAATCAGTACATTTATATGCCTAATTCAACTCTACTTTAAAAGAGAGTTAGAAGGGAGAAGAAAAAGGGCCAGTGAGGGTTAGTGATGTGGACTCTCATTATCCGAACTCATATTTACCCCGTACCTCACCTCGAGCTATCCTTGAAATGTGATTCGTGTAATTCATTCTTCGCAAGCCTTGATATTTGATGACAACCACCAGATTTTTTTGTCTAACTGAGGAAGGGCTTTTGATTGAGGTTAAGAAAGGGTAGCGTCAAGTGGTGTTACACGCTGCTCGGATATGAAATACCAGATTGGTACCCAGCCAGGTCAACCAAGCTTTTCATCACTCTTCTTCTCTACCATAGCTGACCGGGAACTCGGAAATATTCACTCGTCATAAATCCTCGAAGATTCCGAATAGGTTAAACCGCATCAAACTCTACCACAATTCCAGTTGAGAACGACAAACGACACAACTGGAGTAGTGCGTTTCTGACTCTTACAGAAAGAGTTTTCAAATCAATTGGAGCAACTTGAAAGATAGAGGAACTTCTATGGGAGGGTGTATCCGAGGATCATACTATAAACTGGCTGTCCCTGCTATACTAATAAAGGATAAAGGATAAAGTATTTAGCGTTAATCAATCCCGTCTGAGGGATGCGCCCCGCACCCGACTTCCATTCAGTATCGTAGTGGCGTAATGAATGCGTATGTGGCCTATCCAATGACTTGCAGTAGCCAGCCGATGTACAAGTCAGTACTTTTATCCTCTCCCAGAGGAGTCTGGTACCAATTTACCGACCCCGGAGAGATGGAAAGCTTGGTTGCCTAGGCGGGTATCGATCCGGGATTCAAACTCCTTACCGTACGTGTGAGATAGTGGGCTATCTGCCACTTCCGCCCACGCTAAACTAATATACACACGAATCCAAGGCTTATCACGAATAGTCGAATTATATAATTGAAATTATTGAAAGTCAATTTATCAACCGAGTTTCAAAAGATTCAAGAAAAAATCGTGCCTCACACATGTGGCAGTAAGGACCGTCAAGGTGATCTTGGTGCACGCTGACTGCGCAACCAGTCAGAGTAAGAAGAATGACGAAAGGAAGCATCCAGAGCACTGCCATTGCAGGACCGATTGCTACTTTCTCGAGAGCACAAGGATTCGGGTACCTGAAAGAGTTCCTTATAATTGCTGCTATCACACGGTCATAGACACGGTTGACGAATTGTTTGTTAGGTTCTTTGAGGTTTCTATTTCACGTCAGTGTCAGCTGGATTCGTAGTAATGAGAATTATCTCTGAAAAGGTATCCCACGACATCGAACTAGAATTTGCTGCTCTATCTGGGCTGATCTGGGACATCGCCGTCCCACCTTAGAGTACTCGTTCAAAGGTGAGGCAGTGGGTGGTGGCGTTGCTATTATAAACACGGTTCACAGATTGTATTTGCAGTCAAAGTTGCCTATAATACCTAGACATGTCCAACCGAGCCTATCATTCAGTTCTAGAACCTCTGGGGCGGGAGGGACTTCCTACCCGTGAAGCTCTTAGACATTGAGCGGGCGTCGTTTGCTAGAAAACGTGTTCAACTTGGTAATTTCTGCCTTTTTCGATCCTTTGCCTGCCGACGCATTGATCGTTTACTTAGTTGTTCATTTATTTCCTTGCTTAATGCCACCCTTTTTGAAATGAGCATTAGCAGTACTTCAAATCCAAACCACTGAGTCAACCGCTGAACAATGACAATGACAATGGTGCACGAAATGTGTTACAATTATTGCTAAGATGGTGTTCACTGAGCCGCAGGTAGGCCAACCATCAAAACCAATTGTATAAGTATATACGTCGGATCGCTCCCTTCCCTCCTTTTCGGCTAAAAGCTGTTCGGCACATGTTTGCAAGGGCTCCCCTCTACGAGGGCGGAGCGTGCACCGTAGTGGGCGGTGCAAGGAACAGAACTTGTTCATGAGGTTTCCTAGCGATTCAGATGCCGAGAAAAAATAACTAAGCGGGGGGGGGGGGGGGGGGGGGGGGG